GTAGCTAATAGAATAATTTGAGACACTGTCATGGGAACAAGGTTTGCACCAAGCTTTGCAAACCTGTATATAGAAGATTGGGAACCTAGGAGTGTATGGCAGGATGGTAGACTTGGTACAAAGAAAGGGAAAGGGAAACTATTCATGGATGAGGACGGACGCAACTTAGAAACTGCATATAAATCTCCAATTTTGACTTTATTTCCACCACTCTGCAACATTGTATATATCAAGCATCCAGTGGCACAATCAGAAATAGTTTGCAATACACTTTTACACAATTTTAAGTTTTCAACTTTGTGTGAAAATTTACCCCACTGCGAACAGGACTAGTAGTGACAGCGTGACTAATTAATCATCTCTTTTTCTATTTATTTGAGTCAGCCATACATGGGTCAAAATTTCAAATTAACTTTCTTTTGAAAATTGTAATTTAAGAATTTTAGTTACCATTATGGTAGGTTTCAATAACTTGACTATCCTGCAGCTTGCTACTTCAGGTTAGTTCATACTTGACTGGAATGGAGTGGGTCTTCATCCCCAGCCCATACCCCCTTCTTGACCTGTGCCTGGTGGCGCTGGTAGGGATTGCTGCAGAGTTAGGGGCATACCTTGACTATCTCACAGCTATGTAACTATTGCTTGGGTCCAGTAGAGGTGCCTATATAGAGAACCTTGCATTCTCCCAGACACAATAAATAGTACCTTCACTATCTAAGTCAAAGTGTCTGCCTGTTATCGAGAACTGCAATGTGTTTGCGGGAAAACGCCAGCACTCCACTATGCTAAAAAAACAAACTTCATCACCTTCAAAAGTTGCATTAACAAACACCAATGTGGAAAATGAATGATGGTGGTGCAAAAGTGTCAAATTCAGTTGAATAGCGAGTGTTGCACCTACTGAGACAGCGCTGAGGGTGCATGCACCATGAAGCATTTTAAAGTACATCACTTTAGCATGCCTTAATGCTCTCTTTTTGATAGGGTTCTACATGTTTTGGGCACCTTAACTATGGTAAAGCAGACATTAAGGTGCACTAGAATGCAGCATTTTTTTGTTTATATATAAATGTGCTCTTTATAGCTGGCTATATTATATTTGACACACTGCAATCTATTTCATCTGCCTCCCACAGAAAGGAACAACATCTTCTATCCTTCTCCTAATAGGTATGGTGGAGCTCTCACTTTCCGCATGGAACTTAAGAGGCACAGCTTTGGAAGAAAAGACAGAGCCTAGTGCATGTCAGTGAACTATCTTAATATGTACTTCGTGCTAAAGATCTGGGAGCTGTGTAGTGATGTCTGAAAATTCACGTGTGTGTTGCTGAAGTAGTCCTGCATATGCCTTGTGAAAAGCCCTCATTGGTTTCACAGAACCATGTCCAAGTTCTAATGTTTTTATCTCAAATTGTATTTTACCACTGCAGGTAGAACCTGAATTTTCACACTGTTGGATGTATGGAGATTTATGTATGTTGGGTGGGGGAGGCAACCTATTAGGACTTTCCTTTTCACTAAGGGGTCATATTCTGGAATGGTGGCGTTAGAAATCATAGGTTATTAATTTTGGACTGATTTAACCTACACTGTTGTGGACAACATGTTTTGTGTTTGGAGGGTATATAAGCACTGCCTTTTGTTTTAATTTTAATTAGTCACAGATTTGCTCTGGTCTATGGTTATGCGTGGCCGTTGGCTTGCCTTTATCCGGCCCTTGGGGCACTGTTCCTCTGGCCGATACGAGACACTATTCCTCCTGCTAGAAATTCTGAAGGACCCTCTGCATACTGGTATATACCCTTTCAAGCAGACTTTGCAATAAATAGGGATATTTAGTTCACACATATTGCAATACATCTGGCCAACTGAGTCAAAGTAATCCCTCTATGACCAGCCCTACTCTGCTCTGCCTATGCAAATGCTACTGTGGACACAATGCTAACATAGGGGAAAAGACAAAGTGATGGAGAGCTACCAGGTCTATGTCTGGCTACTGACCCACAATACAACAAACAAGATATACCTGTGCTCAAATGCCAATAGCTAGTACATGCATTTATCTATCAGGTGCTAAAAGGGGTGTAACCACATATTAACACTAGAATTTTTTTTTTTTTTTTTTTACACTATTCCCACTGATAACACCAACTATCGTGCACTATTCATTCCTACTGACACCAATGATGGGGTACTATTCCTTCCACTGACGAGGTACGATTCTTCCTACTGTCAACGATGCGGTACGATTTTTAATACCAACACCAACGATGGAGTACTATTCTTTCTACTGACACAAAAAATGGGGTAACATTCCTCCCACTGACACCAATGATGGGGTACTATTCCTTCCACTGACAATGATGGGGTACTATTCTTCCAACTGTCAGCAATGATGGGGTGCTATTCTTAATACCGACACCAACAATGGAGTAATATTCTTTCTACCGACACAAACAATGGGGTAACATTCCACACCAATCCAGCCCCCTAAGGTCTAAAGGACAGTAAACTGGCCCATTGTTTAGAGACAGATCTAATGGAAGCTTGTCTTAAAAGTGGTTGTAAAGGCTGAAGGTTTTTTCCTTCATGCATTCTATGCATGAAAGTAAAAAAACCTTCTGTGTGCAGCAGTGCCCCAAGCCTCCTCAATACTTACCTGAGCCCTATGAGATTCAGTGATGTGCATGACAGCCTCAGCTGTCACGGGTCTCTGCCTCCACATTGGCTAAGACAACAAGTGGGAGCCATTGGCTCCCGCTGCTTTCAATCACAGCCAGTCAGCCAATGAGGAGGGGGGCAGGGCCAAGCCGCGTCTTTGTGTATGACTGGACACACGGAGCAGCGGGTGCAAGCAGCTTGCTGTGGGGGCACCCAACAGGATGGAGGGGCTAGGAGAGCCTGTGGGGGACTCGATAACAGGAGGATCCAGGCTGCTCTGTGCAAAACCACTACACACAGTAGGCAAGTATAGACATGTTTGATATTTAACAAAAAAAAAAAAAAAAAAAATTAACTTTTAGAATCACTTTAATATAAAACATTACTGTATTGTCAGTATTTTGTATGCTGCAGTATAATTACTGAAAAGCAACATTTTTTTACTGAAATTGTAATTTATGTCATGGTTTAAAAAAAAAAAAAGTTTTACTAAATATTTTGCAACTTTGTGAACTCAAGCTTCATGTACGAGTTTCTTTTCAAGCTATGAGGACACCTAGAGGATCTGTTTAGTTCCTGCCACACTAGTGAGAGTTTCATATAGTTTCAGTTACACCTCAAAATCTACTAATCTTACAGACATGATTCCACTTAAGGTAATGGACTATCTAGTGAAGGGCAATGTTCTGACTGGATGTATGGAAGGGGATTTACATGAGGAAAGGAGGAGTACATCAAAGCAGATTTCATGCAGAGTTCGGTTTTGGTGAAAGTATGTAACACCAATACACACTTGGGAATTTACACCTATTAGCATCTTACAGCCTAACAGGAGCACTGATGCTTGATAACAAATGCAAGCTAAATAGGATGAAAACAAAATAAAATGAACAGCAGGATCTTCCAGTAAGGGCCAGTTAGTAGGGGTTATATCTCAGTTGGTAAATGCTGGAGTTAAAGCTTATCTCCAATTTTTCTGTGACTTTAAAATTGTTCTTTTGGACCAAGCTGCTCCAAATACACCGTTTTCTTCACCAAGTTCTGCACTAGCTCCATGCACTGCATGAACTCTGTAGCTTCAGTTACATACAGTACACAGCGTTGGCTTTTGGCTGTGAGACAGAGACTTCCCTTCTCACACCCAGAACAATATAGCCCCGGTCTTAGCAGTGCTCAGCCATTCATAGGCAGCTTTGTATTCTGTGAATGAATATAAAGCTTTCTTTGAATGGCTGAGGTGGAAAATGTGATTTCATCAGCCTGCCCTTCGCTGCCTATTACTCCTTACAATTTTAAGAAGGTGCCAATAATTTTGTCCAGTCCATTGTTAAGAGTTTTGCGTGCAATGTGTCAGATTTGGCTTTTTGTTTCTCCACTTTTTTTGTGTCATACCAATACAAAACAAAAGAAACAGACATGAGAATGCCTAAACTTTTGTAATTGCAACAACTTTCTGGGCGAAGTGGTGTATTATCTGACAGAAATGCAGGGGTGCCAATATGTTTGGCCATGACTCTACATTAAAGTGGTATTTTAGTACCACTTTAAGGAGTCCCATTGAAATAAATGGTAAACGCAAAATATAAAAGCCATGAATAAATGCAGTTTTGCTTTCATGGGCCAGTTCGCTCACCCACATCCCTGTGTGATGTTTGTAAACAAACATCAGCTGAGGATCTGTCGCTTTACAATGGTACCACTTAGCGCTGTAGTCACCAAAGAACAGGTTCTAGACTAGTTTGTTTACAAGCAGAAACTGGCCTGAAATCTGTCATTTAGAGGATGTAAAGCTACAGTTAAATGACAGATCCTCGGTTGCCATCTGTAAACAAACCATTCACTTTTAAAACATTAAATTGTACTGCTCATAATGTCACATGCAGCCTTCTATTAACTAAAAAGAGTGAAAATTAGACTTGAAAAAACCACCCACACACACACACACACACACACACACACACACACACACACACACACACACACACACACACACACACACACACACACACACACACACACACACACACACACACACCACACACTTCAATGGGGTAAACACATGAGTATGAGGTTTGTAAACTTACCGCTAGGTTTACTAAACTCCCAGTGAACCTTATTTTGCTGATCACTATGTAGGTGTGAAAGAGCTCTAAATTAGCAATAGAAACAATTTCAGTGGGACTAGAGAGTGTTGTGATGTTTATAATAACTCAGATTTTTTTTTTTGTCTTTACCCTAAGAAGCTTAAATTCTAAAAGAAAGGTACTTTCTTTGCCTAGTAATATATTTGTAGTCACTAACTTACATTGCCAAGCACAATTAATTATAAAAACACTTACACTGTAGGTTGAATTTTGGTGAATTCAACAGTCTCCTCTTTCTTCTTGCGGAAGAAGAACCAGTAGGTCAACAAGCCAACAATAAGTGAGAAAAGAAAAAGATCTGCCATACTAAACATGGTTTCCTCAGCAGAGCCTGTCCCCTCCTCTGCATGGCACGTGTCTTGGTTAGCACAGGAATCACCCATATTTATTTTGGACACTGAAAGAAGGAAAAAAAAAATAAGTCAGTAAACAAATATAACAATCTTGGCTTAGGGGGTCAAGAGTTACAGACACAGATTTAAATCAGAGCATTTGTACATCTTTGCATGCATACAGGCATTGATGACATTGCCCTTGCACTGTGATGCAACTCAAGGAAAAAAAAAAAAAAAAAAAAAAACACAAACACACATTGAACATACTGTTTAACCGTGACACTTACAACCTTTGAAGAGGATGGATAAGAGATCAAAAAAAGAGAAGTCTGGTCAACTTTCAGTAAATGTGGAAAATAGAAAGAGACACTGCACTAGTCTAGAGTTTACAGCAGGTTTTTGTCTGGCACATACAAAGTCAGTATCGCCTGTACAGTGGAGTCATTCAAGGATCTTATTACCTCATTAAGGTAACTTACATTCTTGTGTTACTTTATAGTGAACACTAAAGATTGTCTTGTATCAGAATCTGAGGGTGGGAAGAAGCAAACACATACAGGTACCCCGGTACCTAGGAACACCAAGACTTTCCTTGTCTGCTTTAAAACTACAGCACTTTGCCCCGCAGTCTGGACTGAAAGCATCAGCTTCAAGTTGGTGCAGAATTATTCTATGCTTTCAATAACCCCCCAAAAACACATATTAGTCCTAAATTTGTACAGCAAGGTATCTTAAAAATACTGTTGTGCTCACCCCAGCAATAAACGATCTATAAACACAATCACTGTCTCCCATGGACACACTCATCTTGGACCTTAACCCTAGGTTCACATCTGTGCAGGTGGTGCCGGTGTGGATCCGCATGAAAATCCCTGCGGCCGCACCACCCACACAGAGAAATGCGGACCCGCGGGCGGGTGCCATTAGTTTTCATGGCATGCCGCCTGCACTGGAAAACGCAACAGTACTGGGAACTGAGGTTCCCATGTGGGCTGCGTTTTCAAAAGAAGTGCAGGGACTTCTTCCCTGCGTGTCACAGGCATGGGAGTCCATTCAAATGAATGGGCTCTCGTGCCTGGGCAAAACGCGGCCCACACGGCCGTATATATGTGAACCAGGGTTAAAGGTCTCTGGCCCTACGAGTTATAAAAAGTCTGTAGAGGGGGTTCCCTTCAAGACAGCTGGATTACCTGCAAATTGGCAAACAGGCTCACTTTCAATGTTGTTGTGATAGCGTAAGTACACATCCAGATAATATGCTCAAGAGAGAAAACTGAAAGACACAGTGCTCTCAGTTTTAAAAAAACTTTTATCCTAATTAACAACACACTCACATTTAGGCCTCATTCACACCATAGTGCAGAGACTAGTAGTGCAGCGAAATGAAAATTCTGGTGCCGAAACCAAAAATTCATCATGCACTTGGCCGAAAAAACCGAAATGGACAGTTTTTAAAAAAAAATTTTTTCTTTTTAAAAATACGCTTTAATGATTTAAAAAACACCACAGTATATGCCCCATTTTTTGTAAAATATGAAAGATGATGTTATGCCGAGTAAATAGATACCAAACACATGCTTTAAAATTGTGCAAGCTCGTGGAATGCCGTCAAACTACGGTACTTAAATCTCCATGGGTGATGCTTTAAAAATTTCTACAGGTTACCAGTGTAAAGTTACGGAGGAGGTCTAGTGCGAGAATGATTAAGTGTTCTTGCATGGCAAGACCACTTAATGTTATCCCACATATATATTCTTATTATAGCCAAATTTACCACTCTAACTCCTCCCACAGTTTTTACACTACATAGACAGTAATATACCGATACGTGCGGATTGTTCCTGATTGGTGTGCTATTACTTTGTGGAACGTTTCGCCGAATGGTTCATGAAATATCTGCGTTTTTGTGGTGAAATTGGTGTCATAGGAATGAATGGTGGAATGTTCAAAACTAGAGTGGGAGCTGCCCACTCCAGTTGTAGACTACTGGTGGAGGCTAGTACACTTCACACAATTTCCCTAGAAATTCTAGCTTTTCTAGTGTCTTTTGTTCTGAAGTCATGGCGATACCTCACATGTCTCGTTTGAACACAGTTTACATATGTGGGCGTGACCTACGTATTCGTTCACCACTACGTGCGAGCACAGGTGGACGGAGGAACTTTAAACTTTTTTTTTTTCTTTTTACCTGGTCCCTTTACAAAAAAAATTGCAATAATTTTTATTCCGATCACAAGGAATGCACGCAGCCTTTGCGATAGAAAGAAGTAGTGACAGGTCCCCTTTATGGAAAGATATGGGGTCAATAAGACCCCACATCTCTCATCTACACTTTAAAGCATTAGATCCAAAGAGAAAACCATTGATCTAGTGCTTTAAAAAAAAAAAAAAAAAAAAAAAAAAAGGCCTTGTTTACAAGACATCGGTCCTCTACAGGCATAGAGATGAGTGGAAGTCATCTTTCTTCCACTTATCTCTATGCCCAGAGTCAGGATCGTTCGGTGGTTTCTCAGGTAAGGCTGAAGACAACCGAGCGGCGGAAGTGAGGGTGGGCAGCGGTGAGGGGGTGGGGTTATTTTCGCTATCTGCATCAGTGCTTATTTTCATTTCGGCCAACAGCCAATAGGGGTGTTTTTGGACGAAACATTTTGGCCATTGAAATTTCAGGGCACCCCTAGCAGAGACATCAGTTTTTCTATATATGTTCTGCAAGGGCACAACAAAACCAATTGTTCTCCAAGTGCCCTGTGCATACCACAACACTAGTATCACATGCAGATTTTTTTATGTGCAGGAATCTGTATAACACTCACTGAAACGTGCATGAAAACGGATGTCTCCGCAAGTGAAGTCTGCATGTCATTTTCCATCAGTTTTTCTGCACATATGGCGTGAACGAGGCCTAAAACTTGTACAGATGGCTCATCTGCATGATATTTCTATCCCCTGCTTCTGGAGTGCACTCTCTCCATAGTTTCACTGAGAGCTTTTTATGCTCCACCATATGCATTACATCATGGGTTGACTTTGTCAGGGTTCTGGATGGTGATGGTGTTATGGAACACCATCTCACATTATTTGGAGTGCAATTTAAGAAAGACTACCACTTCAATGGACTTGTAATGTAAACTTATGACATAAAAACTGAATAAAGTCCAAAAGTGGTTGTAAAGGCTTAAGGTTATGTTACCTTCTTGCATTCTATGCATGAAGGTAAAAAACCTTCTGTGTTCAGCAACCCCCAGCCCCCTATAATACTCACCTAGGCCACTCTTGATCCAGCGATGGGCACTGGAGTCCTGGCTATCCCGGGACTCCCTCTTCTCACTGGCTCCTGCTGCTGTCAATCACAGCCAGTGAGCTAAGGAACACAGAGAGAGAGGGTGGGGCCGAGCCATAGCTCTGTGTGTGAATAGACACATAGCAGCAGGCGCCCCCATAGCAAGCTGCTTGCTGTAGGGGCACCCGACAGGAGGGTAGAACCAGGAGAGCCTGTGGGGGGCCCCGAGAAGAGGAGGATCAGGGCTGCTCTATGCAAAACCACTGCTCACAGCAGGTACGTGTAGACGTTTGTTTGTTTTTTTTTTAAGGAAAAAAAAAATTCTGCCTTTATAATCACTTTAAAGTATGCACGATTCTTTTTATTTGCTTGACTTTTTTTTGATAATAGATTTACATTCATGCCTTATTTTTCCCATAGCGTTATTTTAGAATTTTGCAGTGCAGTACATTTTGTTTTATGCATAGTAAGACAGCAAAAACTTGCATTCAAAGTGACTTCCCATACATTATACATATTTATCATACATCACATTGCCATTCAAGTGGCACTAAAAACTCTGGTTCCCCGCCAAAAAAAAATTTCAAATACATATCCTCAACTCAAAAAACTAGTTTCTATTGCTCTCAGCCTCCACCAAATTCCTATTTGTTTGTCGCTGTGATCTGAGTTCCTGTTAGTAAGTGGCCATGTCTTTTCTCCATGGTCTCACTACATACAAAGTCGGCACCCTCTCTTGCTCATTTTCAAGATGGACTAGCGGCTATAGGATTTGTAGTGTGCAGAGGTTGTACACATGACTGCAACTAAAGTGCACTGCTCGTTTCAAACAAATGGAAGTGAAGGGGAAAAGAGGGGATTAGGTGGACGTTACAAGGAGGCAGAAAAAACACAGTAAACAATTTCATGATAAACAGATTACAGGGCCATTAAGGAGTGGATGTGTATATAATTATGTTAGGAGAAGGATATTGTTTAGCTTCACTTTAATATTTTTCCAAGTTAAACAGTGTAGCTGGGCACAACTGTAGTGGCTATGGCATCCATCTTGCAATTCAAAAAACAAAAAAAAAAAAAAATCAGGGGTTTACAATCTATTGGAACCACAGAATCTTTTTTTTGCTAATGCGAATGATCTTGTGCTCTGCTAAAGAAACAGATGACAAAATAAAACCATACATTTTACAGATCTCATTTCAAACCCAAGGATGATGGTACGGTAGTACCCAGGATATATGAAAGCTACATGGTAAACTGTAAAACTGTACTGTAAATCATGACACATGCAGAGTATGTCCAAGTTCAAGGTTACCTTGATATTTATCAAAAAAAAAAAAGTAATACATGGAGTCATTTTCTGGGACAAAGGTCATAGTGCAGTTCTAGTGAGGGGTAAAAAAAAAAAAAAAAAAAAAAAGCCACAATCTCCAGTTGGATTCTAACAAGGACATATTATAGCACTGTCATTTGCCACTGCATAGTGCATAGTTAAGCAACTTGAATAAAAGTGGCTTACAACATGGGAAGATAATGAGTTTCATTCATCGCCTACATGCTGATAAGCAAATTAAGCTCTAAGGAAACTAGGGACATGTTTATTCTTTGCTGTCTTGAACCCGTCTAATCTATTCCCAACATACGGTTATTTTACAGGTTTAAAACTGCAGAGACCTGGATTCCAAAGTTACCTGAGTTACTGATTTCTAGTGACTTTTTGGACATCTTTCCAATGCTTTCCTACCAAGAGAGGTCCAGCAGAAGCAACGAG